TCCACCTCTTCAAACTCTTCGGCCGTTTGTTTGTCGAGTTTGTAATAACCTTTGGCCACAAAATCGCCGCTCACTATCAGCTCCCCTCTGGGGTTGGGCTTATCGGTGGCTCTATAGCCGCCCTCTTCCCAGTCCTGGAGCTTCAGTTTACAGCCGTGAAGTGGGGCACCGATTAGGCCGCAGTTCAGGTCATCGAAATCGGTCACAGCTGTGGCCGCACACGTCTCCGTCGACCCGAAACCCTATGCCATGAGAGAGAAAAACGTTTAGCAAAATAATTAATATTAATTGCAAACACAAAAACAGTCAGTAATTACTTGAAGTAATTTAATATTGAGCGCCGACTTCATGATCCGTTGGGTCTCTGGGCTGAGCGGTGCGCCGCCGACCACCATATACCTGAGCGCTCCGCCCACCTGTGCCCTGACGGGCGCGCACACAAACTTATTGACCAGTGGTGTAGAGTAGCCGCGACGGTCCCAATAGGACTTGTATGTCAGGGCGTATGTCATCAGCTCTTTGGCGAACGGGCCCTTCCGGTCGATCGTGTCTTCGATGGTTTTGCGGATTCGGTCCAGAATTAGCGGTACGGCTGTCATGATGGTCGGCCTGAGCAGAGCCAGGTCTCCCTTATCGCCCCGACGTATAGCCGTTCCCTGATTGGTGAGCGTGAATGCCGTGCCGTAACCCATGCGGACGCCCACCGAGAAGAAGAAGGTCTCGGCCACGAACTCCAGCGAATGAGCCAATGGTAAGTACGCGATGTACCGGTGCTTATCGGCCTCGTGGATGATGTCTCGGTTAAGGATACTCAGCAGCGACACCACCGATGCCATGAAGTTCTTGTGAGTCAGTACAACCCCTTTAGGTGTTCCCGTCGATCCTATGGTGTATATAATTGTCATTTTCTATGGACATAATATTATGATAAAACACGTACCAGAAGTGTATAGGATAACAGCCGTGTCATCGGGTTGTGGCTCCACTCCGGTCAGTGTCTCGGGCGCCGCCTCTCCATCGCTGACCAATCGCTTGAATGGTATTAACTCGACCTCCGATCCAAAGTCGTTGGACTTGAGCTCTTTGATGCCCTCGATGTAGATAATGGTCTTCACTAACGGTGTCTTCGCGTGAAGTTTTGCCAGTTTTGG